TTTATCTTTTTTAAAAAAACTAGTTGTTTGTTATATTGACTTCCTCTAACGGTTTTCTACTTTTAATTTCAAGGATTTCTTATTTATATTACTTCCTTCTATTTCCTTTGAATTTATTCTGTATTTTTTTCCTAAGTTCTTGAGAGAAGAGTTTAAATAACTGGAGATTTTTCTTCTTGTCTCATACATGCATTTAGTGCTGTAAATTTTTTTTTCAGCATTATTGTACCCACACCCCACACTTTTGATATGTTGTTATTGTTTGGATCTGGAATGTTCCTCTCAAAGGCTCATGTGTTGGAGGCTTGGTCTCTAACTAGTGATGATACTGCAGGGTAGTGGAAACTTCAGGAGACTGGCCTTACTTGGAGGAAGCAGGTCACTCTGGGCATGACCCTTGAGGGTGTATCCTATCTCTGGGCCCTTCTCTCTTTGCTTCCTGGATGCCATGATGGTAGCCCCTTTCCTCTGCCACACCTTTCTATGGTAATGTTTCTGCCTTTCCACAGGTCTAAAAACAATGGAACCAGCTGATTGTAGACTCAATACTCAAACTTCGAGCCAAAATAAATATTTCCTTGTTGTTTTTCCCAGATATTTTGTCACACGAAAATCTGACCAACACAGTTATATTTTCATTTTTATCCAGTTCAATGCATTTTTAAATTTCTCTTGAAATTATACCTTTGACCCATAGATTATTAAGAAGTCAGTTTAATTTCTAAGTATTTGAAGATCATCCTGTTTGCAAATTCTAATTTGATTTCATTGTGTGATTTCAATTATTTTTCATTTGTGGAGGTATGTTATTTTTTAGCATATGTTCCATAGGCACTTGAAAAGAATGTGTATTCTGCTGTTGTTGGGTGGAGTGATCTCTAAATGTCTTTCAGATACTATTTGGTAGTGTTGAACTCTTTTATATCCTTGCTGATTTTCTTTTCAATTATTCTTTACATGGATTATTTACAAATATTAAATTACTGATCCTAGACCGCTGGTTGCTGTCCTGAGTCAGATAGGAAATGTAAATGAGAAAGTGGAAGGAGAAGTGTCAGTCATAACTAGAGAGAGTGAAAGAGGTGTGGAGAGGATAGCAGAGGTACAGAAATGACTTGATCCATCTACATATGTGAAGATGGCCCTGTACAGGAGGAAGGAGAAAGAAAGCAGTCTTTCTGACTCATCTTTGTGGAAGTGGACTCTAATATTAATTAATGCTTCTTGTTAATGTTTTTAAATCTATTTTTCTGTTTTCTTTTGTAGTTCTGGGGATTAAATCCAGGGTCTTGTGCATGGTAGGCAAACACTCTACCAACAAGATATATTCCCTTTATGACTGATGCTTCTTATTCTAGATCCAAAATCAACTGTCTTCAGATGACAATCATTACATATGCTTCTTCTTTTTCTTGTGGTTATACTGTGTCCTTCTTTTCTTTGGAAACTTAGATCATGTTATAGGGCTACTGTACAGAGCTATATAGGTTGTGTGTTCTGCAAAAGTCCAAGTGATTCATATCCAATGAGATGTTTCCTTGTTGTATTGTAGCTATACAAGCCAGTAGAATTTATTTTGATATAACTGTACAAGCATGGGCTATATCTTATTCTAGTTAGGACCCCATTCTTATGGATGTACATGATGATAGGATTCACTATGGTGTATTCTTATAATCAATGAGATGATATAATAAGTCATTGCCCAGAAATCTTTCTGCATCATTATTATTAGATACTTTTACTTACCATTCATTAAGAAATATTTGAGGAAAATAAGAGATACAGAATCACCAAAACAATTCTTATCAAGAAAAGTGAAGCAGGAGGCATCCCAATACCAGACCTTAAATTATACTACAGAGCTATAGTAACAAAAACGGCATGGTATTGACACCAAAATAGACATGTAGACCAATGGTACAGAACAGAAGACACAGAGACCAACCCACATAAACACAATTATCTCAACTAGACAAAGGCACCAAAATATTTATTGGAAAAAAGATAGCCTCTTCAATAAATGGCATTGGGAAAACTAGAAATCTATATGTAACAAATTGAAATTAAACCCCTATCTCTCACCCTGCAAAAACTCAACTCAAAGTGTTTGAAGGACTTAGGCCCTAGACCAGAGACCTTGTACCTAATAGAAGAAAAAGTAGGCCCATATCTTTGCCATGTCAGTTTAGGATCTGACTTCCTTAAAAAGACCCCTAAAGTACAAGAAGTAAAATCAAGAATCAATAAATGGATGTATTCAAACTAAAAAGCTGCTTCTCAGCAAAGGAAACAATCAAGAACATGAAGAGAGAACCTACAGAATGGGAGAAAATCTTTAGGATACATAAAAAAACTCAAAAAACTTAATGCCAAAAACATAACCCAATCAATAAATGCACAAAGGAACTAAACAGATGCTTCTCAGAAGAAGAAATATGATTGGTCAATAAATATATGAAAAAAATGTTCAACATCTCTAGCAATTAGAGAAATGCAAATCAAAACTACTCTAAGATTTCATCTCATTCCAGTCAGAATGGCAATTATCAAGGATATAAGCAAAAATAAATGTTGGTGAGGATGTGGGAAAAAGGTACCCATTCACTTCTGGTGGCACTGCAAATTGGAAAGCAGTATGGGGATTCTTAAGAGTACTTGGAATGGAACCATTGTTTGACCCAGCTATCTCACTCCTTGGTTTATACCCAAAGGACTTAAAATTAACATACTACAGAGATGCAGCCACATCAATGTTTACAGAAGCTCAATTCACTATAGCCAAATTATGGAACTAACTTGGTGCCCTTTAACAGATAAATGGATAAAGAAAATGTGGTGTATATATACACTCAATGGACTATTACTCAGCCGTAAAAAAGAATGAAATATGGCATTTGCAGGTAAATGGATGGAGCTGGAGAATAACATGCTAAGTGAAATAAGCCAGCCCCAAAACCAAAGGCCAAATGTTCTCCACAATAAGGGGGTGGGGTTAGGGAAAAATAGAGGTGCTCTGCATTAGACAGACGGGAGTGGTGGGAGGGGAGGGGTTATGGGGATAGGAGGGATAGTGGAATGAATCGGACATCATTACCCTATGTTCATATATGATTATATAACCTATGTGATTCTACAACAGGTATAGCCAGAAGAATGAGAAGTTATACTCCATTTATGGATGATGTGTCAAAATGCATTCTACTGTCATGTATAACTAATTAGAATAAGTAAATAAATAAGAAATGTTTGAACATATATGTCAGGTGTTGTTCTATATCCTGGGGATTTGGCAGTGAACAAGATAGACAGGGACTGCTTTTGAAATTGGAATGGGAGTAAGACTAACAGTAACCACATAAATAAGCTTCAGTGTTATAAAGAAAAGTATGTACAGATTTGGAGTGAGTTAAAACTTTAGCTTGAATGTTTGGGAGATACATTCTTATGTTATTCAATAATACAGGACCATATTCTGTAACAATAAATATTATGTAACTAACTATTTTCTGTCTCCCTGCCCCAAACTTGAAACAGCAGACATGATATCATTATGTATACACTAAGTGTTTGAAACAAGTTAATAGAGTTAACAATTTCTTACTAGATTTTGTATTTTTCTTTAGAGGATGAAATGATCATTTAAGAGAAAGTGAATTACTTAATAATCTGAGTAGGTATAGTCAGAAAATTTTATTACATGTATAAAACTAAGGATACTTTTGTGGGTTTGGTAGTGGCAGAGAACCAGACTTCACAAATTTAGTACATTTTCAATACCTGTGAACTACATTTTCTAAGACCTAGGAGAGTTCCCAAAATCACAAATCTCACGATAGCGCAAAATTTTCCCATAAAATATAGTGAAATACAAATAAAATATATTAAAATATCCCTGGTATCTATAATAGTTTCCTATAAGGACAGGACTAAAGAAATCTGTAGGATTAGTTTTTGGCTAAGAAACTTCCTCTCATTAGACTTCTGCACTCTCATTACCAGTACCAGTGACTGGTTTTCTTTTAAGAGATTTTTTTTTCCTCTCAAAATTAAAAGCAAAGGTTAAAACAACAACAACACCCTCCCCCCAGAAAAACCCCCAAACCCTACAAAATAAAAAAAAAAAATCCCTAAAAGTCAGTTCATTCTTGACAATGAATAGAAAAGGAGTAAACACATTGTGGGTTGGTCTATAAGGTGGGCCCACGCTCGGGAAAGAGCTCCACTCAACCAACACATGAGTTCAGAGGGCTGGTGACTCAAATGAAGCATATGGAAGATGAGAAATCACCATGAGTCATCAATTATCAAGGCTACCAAAAGATCAGTGAAACCGAGAATGTCAGATCTCCATAGATGATAAATACCTTTTGGTCTCTAAATTACAGATTTATACCTAGAGAATATAATACAACCATTTGTTCCACCCCTTTAGTGTTATAGCACATGTGAGATCATTTTGAGGGGGAAATAAAGATATAGAGCTTTCTGAGCTGAATATAATACAGGAAATTGCTCTGGAACACCACAAGTTAAATTTTTTTTCTTTTGCTATATGACTATTATGGTTGTTTTCTAATTGTCACAAATCCACAAAGTCTATAAATCTTATTTTTTMTTTTTTTTTAAAAAATATATATTTTAGTTGTAGTTGGACACAATACCTTATTTATTCATTTATTTTTATGTAGTGCTGAGGGTTGAACCTGGTGCCTTGCATGTGCTAGGTGAGCGCTCTACCTCTGAGCCAGAATCCCGGCCCCTATTTTTCTTTTTCTTTTTAATCAGAGTTGATAATTTCATCTTCCAAGGGAGGTGAAGAGAAATTGAGCCAGGGTTTTGGAGGTCCTCTTAAACATGAAAGCAGCCCACAAAATCAAGGTGTTATTATCAGTCAGGTATTACTGGTTTCAAATTCCCACTTTGTTCCTTGAGCAGAGTAAAAATTCATAGAACTACTGACTAGCTGAAATGGACATTGAACAAAGGGTTTAACTTACTTCTCTCACAAACCACTGACAAAAGGCAGGACCGATCCATTCTCTCGCATGAATACCACAGTCCATCCAGACAGCTCTTTTGTAAGCTCGTGATTTTCTGCCCAGCTGAAAACGGGAGTATTCATAGTAACAAACTCAGGCTTTTATTGGAGATTCACTGACCAGCATAATTTAATAAGATTTCAGCATAATTCTTCACCATGGTTTGGTTCATTAGGTAACACATAAAAAAGATAGAAAGATATCCTATCTACTTTGGAAGTCCAGGCTTATTTATGCAGAAACAATAAATTTAAAGCCCTAATAATACAATCAAAGAATTATAAAATATACAAGGGAAAGGGAAATCTCTAAACTAGGGTTGCTTCTATTTTAATATAAGATATAAAGTTTAAATAAAAGGCTAAATTCTTCTTTCTTCCTTCCCTTCCTTTTTCTCTCCCCCTTCCCCACCATTTTCCCAAATTTTCCAATTAGAAATGTTCTCAAGGAATATTTCTTAAAGAAATAGCTATATTTTATAGGTGAATAAAGTCAAACTTTATTATACCACAAACGGGAAAATTAAAACAATTTGGTCTATAGAATCAGGCGGTAGATTAAAAAATTACTATATCAACATTAATTCTAACCAAGTTTCTAACCCAGTCATTAATAGGTAATTTTTGAAATTATATTCATAGGGGATCTCAACTAATACTTCGGAAAATACTTTTTAACATCAGATACTGGGCTCAATCCTAGAGACTCAAAGATGAAAACACAAGGGGTTTACATGCTAGTGGGGAGAGTAGACAGGTAAGCAATCAATCAACCTTTATGGTGTGAATATCCATAAGGCACCTTAGGAACATGGGTGTTGTGTTGAATTTTCCTGGGGAATAAATGGAAGCTTCTCAAAAGAAGTACTTGAGCATGTTTTCAATTTTGCCTGGCAGACAAATTGGTGGAAGGCATTTCAAGTTTGAAAGAGAATCTGAGGACATAATATTGCAAGAATTGCTTCTGTAGTTTGAGGAAGGAACAGCATGTGAAGCTGTAACAGAGACAAGAGAACACTTGGAGTCCCTGGATATGATGGAAAAGAGATGAGGATGGGTTCCATATTCCCTGGAAAGGGTAAGGGCACACACACATGTGTGTGTACATGCATGTGTATGTGTGAATGCTTATGTGTGTATGCGTATGTATTTGTGTTATTTCTGACAGCAATGTGGAGGATGGATAGGAGAATGAGAGGGCCAAGAACAGGGACTCAAAAAGAAGTTGAGTATTGGGGCCATATTACAATAGTCTAGGAGAACAGATCTAAAGGTGAGTTAGGGTAACACCAGTGAAGACAAGGGAAGAGGTTTGGGCTTATCCAAAAGAATTGTCAAGTGAAAGTGAGTGATTAAAATAAAGGAGAGGAATTTAGGATGATAATCATGTTTCAAAACTGGGAGGAAAATGGTGCCATTCTGACTCTGAGGCGCTTGCTTTTGTGAATATCCAAGTTAAGGTGTCAAGCAGGCAATGATGTGTGAATTCAAAGCTCCAGAGAGTGGACTCCACTGGATAGAAAGGTCTGGCATGACTGTTGACATTACCAGCAGATATGCCCAGTTAGAGAGGGTTTATGGAGTGAAAGCAGAGATGTGGGTAGGGTCATGGGGATCACCAGAACCTAAGGAAAGGACAAGGAAAGAGGAGCCAGTGAATGAGACTTGAAGGAATGAATGGTTAGAGAGACAGAAGAATTGACTGGGAGTCATCGTTGACCTTGGCAAAGTAAGTTTAAAGGGAGCTGTGGGACATGAGCCAGTTAGGGGAGGGGAAGTAGTAAAGACGTTTGAACTACAGGCAAATCTTATTAGAAGTTTAACTGAGAGAGAGAACTGTGGGTCAGTAGCTGGAGGAGAATGCAGGATCAAGGGATGGGAATAACACATACCTTCTTACACATTTACCTGGTTTTACGCTGGTTCATCTTAACTAGCACCAACTCACAAATAAGTGGCATCAGTAATTCTGAATATATCAGAAACAGTATCCTCTAGAATACTAAATGCCAAATATTAAATATAATTCAAACATCTAAGGGATTTTTTTCTTAAATTATCAGATGATGTTAAATATGAGCTTATGAAAAATCATTTCATTTTTTTCCCATAAGTTGAAAAAGATAAATATTGGGAGAACATTTTATATTTAGTTGACACTTTCTTCTTTTTTACCTTTAAAATAAACAGCGATCTTCCTTCATATGATCTTCCAATAGAAAACATATGAATAAGGCCTGAATGAGTTTTATTCAGATGATGCATCCAACTCTGAATCTAAAAGCAGATAAATAAAAGCCACGTCAGACTCTCTTATAGTAATGGGGCTTTTAGAGAATACAGGTAACAAAAATGACAGCAGTAGGTCTCAGAATTCAAAGAGTATATATGAAATACAAAATGAAAAAAGAAACAATTTCCTCTACTTAATTTCTTTGGGATACTTAAAATTTTACATTTTATTTTCTGCCTTTATAGATAGCTTATGTCTTGGTTATGGTTCCCTCTTTAAAGCATATCTTCTACTGCCAAATGTCATTAATATCTTGCTGACACTGTTTTGTGAAAAATTAATTGATGTGTTCTGGTTTCTTCTTAAAAAAATCAGAATTTATTTCCATTTTCCCCACAGATATTTAAGAGAGAGAGAGAAAATTTAAATCCACTTTATGAAAACTATCCAAACTACTTGAAAGTGGTATTCAAATTCCATATATTGTAATTTCCCACAGAACAGAAGATGCTAAGAAAAAGTTATTATCATTTGCATTTAAACATTATTCTACTGAGCCACATGTTGGAGGACAAGTCTGAATAATCCCTCCAGTGACAGTGATATATTTGTCTCCATCCCTCTCACATGCTTATCTGTCATCAGGAGAAGGTATATTTGAAATGGATGGATAAGGTGCTTAGAAAGATGGTAACATTTCTGACTTATAAGCCCTATAAGGAACAAAGAAGTAACACAAAAGCATCTCACTGTTCCATGATGTAAAAGAGTTTGTATTCAAGAAAAAAATATATGTATTGGCATGTGTATTTTTTCTTTTCTTCCTATTCCTGTTTAATCTAATGATCAGGTTCATATAAATGTGAATATATATATATATAATATATACACACACACATATGTGTACATATCTGTATCCATTTTATTCTTGAAATTTGACTTTTTTTTTCTAGTACATTTTAAGAGCACTGCTGTGTGCCAAGTTATCTAAGACATTTCCATTGCTTCCAGCTTCTAAAAGGTATATTGAGACATAAAAAATGTGAAAAGAGTTTTGGAAAGGAGTTATCATCAACAGAACCAAAAATATTCCTAATAATAGAACAGGATCTTGTTAATTTTGGTGTCTGCTGTTCCTTTGTTCAATTCAGGGAACATAGAAAATGTATATATTTATTCATTCTGTCAACAGCTTATCTCTTTTAAAGACTCTATTTACCTGCCCTTGGGGATATAGTGGCAGATGAGAAAAAAAAAATAGTCTTCCTTCCTGGAACTTGCAACTTAGTAGGAATGAAGGGCACCAGTCAAATAATCCTATAATGACACAACTAAGAACTGTGAAAGGTAATATCCATATGTTATGGGACGTGTGAAGTTGGAGGGTAGGGGGCAGAGGGGTTGGATCCAGTCTGGAAGAACAGAAACTGCTACTTGATTGCTTAAAGCTGAAATTTGAAGAACGACAAGTTGTCAGGTGAGCAGTAAAGAATGTGGTTGGTGGTGAGGATGAGGTTGCTGTGAGTTTTCTGGGTAGTATATATAACAGCATGTTCAAAGGTTCAGAGGTGCCACTAGTGAGGATTGGCCTTTGGTAGTTCTCAGATTTGCAAGAGTGTAGGGCAAATATCAAGTCTCCAAGCATTACCTTTAAGCTCTGGCTAGTTCTACTTTCATGGCTTTTCAGTTAAGGTCTCGATAACTATCATTTTAACATTACCTCAGTCTTCCATTGTACTCCTATGTCCTTTGTAGAAGTGGGCTGGGTAAAGCAGGTGAAATTTAAATTATTTTGCTACTTCTTTTGTAGCAGTGAAAGGGTCAGTGGAAGAAATGAGTGAATCGAGGTATTGAGGTCATGTAAGTTCTATACATTCTTCCCAGAGCAATTGTCTCTGTCTTTATGCTTCTTTCCCAATACTTAACCCTAAATGACAAAGATGAACTTGTAAAAAAGCAATAAAAACTCCTATGATTACACACTTCTTCTAAGGAGTGGTACACTTCATAATTATATTCAGACAGGGATCTTCTGTTTCTCTGGGTTGGCAAACTGTTTCCATTTTCCAGCACTTTCTGAAGATCTTCTATGAGAATCCTGGATTTGAAATAATAGACATTATGAAAAGTAAATTGAAATGATGCGAAAATCATGCAACATCAAAAAATCAGATGCATAAGGAACGAACAAGTAACACAGAAGTGTCCCAGTGTTCCATAATGTGAAAGGAAAAGGAAGGATGCCAAGAATGACGATTCTAAAAATACCAAATGTTGAGAAAATGTTCTTTTTTTGGGAAATAAAAATGATTAAATAAATGGTAGAATGAATTTAAAGTGTAAAATTGTAGGCAGATGTCCCCAAATAATGTAGCACTGTAACAACAGCTACCAATGAGTGAGCAGCTAAAAACAGCTAAACAATGGCTATGAGCACTTAGACTAGGAGCCATAGCAAGGTGGGCTGTGTATTTGATGTACATAATCTAAGTGACTGTATATGGTGGACCTGATTATCTCCATTTTATAAAAGGGGAACCTGAAATTCAAAGGGATTAAGAATTTGCCAATGTCAGACCTCTTTGGTCAATGCAGAGCCAGAATTTGAACAAGGAATGTGCACATAAATTCTAATCTTGCAACTCCAACTCCAGTGTGACATGATGCAAATTGAGCAAGCCTAGGCTACTCCTTCACTCCTCTCCTTATCTTCTTTCTTGCTATTTCTGTCTGTTCATGTCCCTTTCTTCATGGAGACGCTGTTTTCAGGTCATCACTCAGAACATCTGACCTAAGATGCAGAGAGGAAAGGGAGGGAAAAGAAGTTACAGTTCTCAAGAATAAGCTGAAGAAATTCCCAGAGTTGGAAAAAGCCATCTTGTGTCTATATGCCAGTATCAAGAATGCCAAGAGAAGACAAGCTCAGCTAGTCAGAGTGAGTGCACTGAGAAACTGAAGGTTGAGGCTGGGGTGGGGGACACAGGCTCAGCCTAATGGGTGGAGCCGGTCCAGGTGGAGTCATCAGTGTTCTTGATGTCTAATCTAGATGCAGACTTGTCTTTCCAAGACTCGCCGGTCACCAGTTACTACAGTGCTGTGAAGTTATAATGGGCTGCATTCATTTGCAATAGTTAAAGATATTTAAGAGCCCTTCACTGATTTTTCAGGGCTTAGAAGATGGCTAAAAAGCTTTGCTGCATGTTTTCTCTTCCAAAAGAATCTGTTCCTTAAAAAGTTTAAATATTATCAGAACATTTTTAAAGAATGATTTATGTAAGCCTTAAAATTAAAAATATTAATCAATTAAAAATAATTAATAACTAATCAATTAAAATATTAAACATATTAATCAATTAAAACATTTTTTAGAATCTGATGGGTAAATACTTTTTTGGTCCATGATGGAAGTACATTTACTTGGGGGTCACGGTGATTTACTCAGTTGTTATTTATTGAGCACCTGCCATGGACAAAACCCCTATTCAGGAGTTGATCATTGGTTCAATGTTCTTTTTGTTTCAGTTTTGTACTTTAAAACTGGAAACATTCCAGGAATCAAGACGAGAGGTAAAGTGGCACAAAGCTTGGTAAATTTTCTTGGCAGCTGCTTGCAGTGGCTCAAAATATGAGTGGAACATTAAATTTAAGCCTAAATGCCATCAGTATTAGTGTTTTCTCTTTTCCCAAAGGTGAAAAGTTGCAGATGGTTAGGTGCATGGGCTAAAGAACTTTACCATACTGCAGAGACAAGTCTTTGGAGCCAAATGAGCTAGCTCTGTCAATGTCTGAGTTTCCTTGTGTTAATAGAGAACCTGAATAGTGAAGCTGTCAAGAATGCCAAGAATAGAGAAGCTCAGCTAGTCAAGGTGAGCGCATTTAGAAATTAAAGGCTGAGGCCAGGGCAAGGGGTGCCAGGTTCTTTGCAATGGATGAAACCAGCAGCAGGTGGAGTCACCCTGTGGGTTTGATTAAGAAGGTGGCTATAAATTGTTCTCATATTCCAGTTACTGCAGGCAACCTTCAAGTCTGTTTTTCTTCCAGGATGATTTCTCTCGACTGCTTTTATTTTTCTATCCCAAGAAACCAAGGAAAAAAAAAAAAAAACGTAGATAGATTTGCCAAAGCCAGCAATCTACACAAAGCTCTCCTTCTGAATGCCCAGTTGAAAAGGTCCGTGGTACTTTGTTACAGCAATCCCAGCACAATAATTCTAGTCTCTGTTCAGTCACTTAGGACTATACTCTCATACAGGGTATAAAAGGTCAACTTTAAATTAAAAAATAGTTGTAATATAGCTGACACAGAGCCATTTTCCTTGTCAAGTACTGGACTGGAAACCAGCAATATTGATGAGAAAGCTGCGAAATGGAGTACCAAAAAAAAAAAAATCTTTTAAACTGTTGTGTTTTCTTAGTTTTTTTTTTTTAAAAATATTTCATTATGATTCCTACTCCAATTGGGTACATTTCTATAATATATCTAGAACAATGAGAAACTTTCCAAATTTTGTAATTCAATATAAAACTATCTCCTTGAAGCTTCCAGAATCGGGAAGGGCCCTCAAAATAGAAATTTTGATGCCAATTTTCACAGGAATTTATTAAGTGACTGAACTTTTTATGCAGAATGAGTCATCTCATGGAGAGGAGGATTGATCACCTGGGGACCAGACATGTGGTGTCACATTATCTGTGCTTTAAAGATCACTATAATGATACCTTATATATAGTTTGTACAGAATAAATGATAATCTTTGGAAAATACCCCAGACTACAATAATAAAAGTCAATTAAAATGATCTCTACCTATCGTGCCCAAGGAATTTAATTGACTCTTATGTGTTATTATCTTGGGACCAACAAAATGAATAATTTTAAATGATTGCTCTTCCTGAGGAGACAACTGATTTAAAACACTCATTTTTTTTAAGGCTCTATTCTCTGTGACACAAAATATGACATTTTTTTTTCTGTATTTAATGGTAGGAAATGGAGACTTGTTAAACTAACTGATACATTCTTTTCTACTGAACAATAATTAATGAAGCATGTAAGTTGTCACTGGCACCTATGGATATAATTGCCAAGCTCTTTCCTGCCAGGCGTTCAGAGAATCAAAGCACGGCGTCAAATCGGCAGCACTGACTAAAATGTGTCCAATATGAACAATAGTTTTATGCACAGCTGTGATTCTTTTCTAGAAGCACAAATAAAATGCCTTTCTGCAAAAAGCTTATTGGTACTTTAATAGGTTGTAAATATCTTTCCGGCAGGGCAGTATTTGTGTGGATCAGGGATGTCACTGTCATTTTGCACCTTTTGTCCCAGGCTTCCAGAGAGCCTGGGGCCTTCAACATTGATTCACAGAGCCATCAGCCCACCCCATGTCTTCCCACACATTATCAGAAACCTGTGTGCCAGTTTTGACAGTACTTAGCCTGCTAAGAAGGTGGGGTACTTGAGGGTGTGAGATTATTATGCCCCTCAGGCCCCAAATATCCCAGTGAAGGGTAAGCTACACTCTGGTCTCATTAATTCACTATACTGCATTTCTTTTCCTCAAATCCTCTGCGGGCACTGTTTCTCTCAACCAACCCCTTTACCCTGTGCCCACTGGAGTCTCTCTTGTATTGTAAACAAATTCCTACATTCTCCAGTATCTTCAGAGAACTCTTTCTTTTCATATTCTTTTCCCACCAAAAATTTGGCACTTTCTTTTGTGGATTTTTACCCAACACACTCTTCCTACTTATCATGGGGCCCAAAGGGAGGGAGGTCACGGTTCTCCAGGACACCATTTTGCTTTCCCATTAATCTCCTCACTTCCGGGCAGAGCTCACGCCATTCCTTGTTGCTTTCCTCTAACTCTTGGCTCTGTCTTTCACCTCTAATCTTACCACCAGCTAAGGACAGAAGAATGCATTTTGACACATCATACATAAATGGAGTATAACTTGTTATTCTTCTGGTTGTACATGTTGTAGAATCATACCAGTTGTGTAATCATATATGCACATAGGGTAAAAATGTCCGATTCACTCTACTATCCTTCCTCCCCTTCTCCCTCCCCTACTTTCACTCTCCTCTGACTAATCCAAAGTACCTCTATTCTTCCCTAGTGCCCCCAGCCCCTTATGGTGAATTAGCGTCCGCACTGCATCCAGTTCAGTGATTTTCCACCCCAAATTCCACTCCAGCCATCTCCTTCATGGCTAATGCCTGGATTTTGTCACCAGCCATAAGTTTTCTAACCTAGAATTCATAACATCCAATAGCCCACATTTTGTCAAAACTTCCTTCCTTCCCACTGTTACTCTCAGTCACATTGTACTTGTTTTCAATATAATGATCTTCGAGCCATTTTTGATTTTCCATTTTGTTCCATGATTCTTCCTAGATTCTTCTCTCTCCTTATCCTGATTAGACCCCAATGAATGAATACTTGATCAAGTGTCTCCTTGGGAGTCTTGACTTCCTTGCCATCGTGACTTTTCATTGATCTTATCCAACAAAACAGCACCTTTATATCAGTTCTCTATTCTCACCTCTCTTCTCAGTTTTATTGGTTCTTACCTTGTTTTTTCTCTTGACAACACTCTTCAAAAACAGTGTCTTCACTTGTGCTAGATAATTTTGCTTCTTATTTCATCCAGAAACTTTTAAACTATGATCTCCTTCAATGTATGGACCTTCCTTTCTGCAACCTTAGGTAAACCCACGTGTACTTCTTGAGTCTTAGAAGATGAGGTAACCTTCCTATTGTTCAAACTCATCCCTGCACCTGTGCATTCCCTCTGGCATGATTGACATCTCCCTCCCTTCTGGTTGTTCCCCTCAGCTCACAGACATGAGAAAATTTCCCCCCTCTCACCTAAATCCCAAATCTTCCAAACAGTCACTAATCCTTTGTGGTCACTTCCTCTTCTCTGCTCCTCTCCTATTCTGATTGCTAAGAGCTGTAGTCTGCTCTGTTTGCTCAAGATCTTCTCCCTGTTCACTTCTTCTATCCCTAATAACTGAATCTCATCATTAGTGTTAGCAACACAATTTCCATTGCCAAATCCCAAGGAGCCTGCTCAGTTCCTTCTTGCTGGATGTCACTGTAGTACTTGGCCCCATGACCCTTCCCTCTGATTTGATTCCTCTGACTCTCTCCTACTTGCTCTCTTATTGTGTTGATTCCTTTTAATATCCAACCTGTTTCAAATCTGTCCACTTAGTTAGCTTTTCTAAGCTACACAACTTGGAGTTATCCTTTGATGTCTCCCTTTCTCATCTACCATTCAACCAGGTAGAGAGCCCAGGTGGTTTGACTTCTGGATTTTTTTTAAATGTTCTCTTCATTTTACTACTCTGGTCTTAACTCAGGGCCTCCTCGGTCTTGCTGGGACCATTGCTGTCATCTCCTCTTGCCCCTCTACTTCCACAGACACGTGACTCCTTTGCTTATATCCTCTAATAGATCAGCACCATGGACAAGATAAGGTCTGGGCTCCTTTCCACTACATGTACACCTTCTACCCCTTCATCTCCTGCTGTCTCTCCTGCACCTTTTCTTTCTGGTATTTGACTTTCAGTATTACACTGTATTTCTATGCTGATTCTTCCTTTTCTTGCATTGTCCCCTCTGTCTGCCAGGTCCTGAGTCTCATTCAAGGTCTGGATGACACAACTCCTGTAGAAAGCCTTTTCCTCCTCTTCCTCCAGACATTGTTAGGTTGCTCTCTTTTCTTCACTGGAAAAAGAGTCTGTGTGGACAATGATCACTTAATGGCAATAGTGAAATGACATATGTGGCGGTTCCCATTCCCTTTTAACCTAGTAAGTTCATCCAAGGTGAATATTTTTCATGTCAGTTTTCTCAAAATGGAAAGCTATTTAAACCATTCCTGTAAGCACTTGATAATCTGAATACAATGATCATTCATTTGATTTCATACAAATGAATTTTGTAGCACATGAAAAGGAAGAGCTTACTTGTACTGGATGTTGGCTTCTTGTAAGAAGGCTAACAGGGCTCGGGAAGCATTTTGAGAAATATGGACATCAGTAACTGTTCCTTCTGTTACATAGGAGACACTGCTGGGCTGCCACAGGTCCACCTGTAGTGCAGGAACCAACCTATAATTCATATTCAATGTAGGTGGGGAAAAATCCATGTCACAATATAAACACATTATCTTGTTTGAACACAGTAACACCAAACATATTTCAGGATGAGATTCAATTCTCATATCATCAGGGTGAAACTTCTATCTGAATTTGAACTTAGGCTCCAGATTGTATCATACCCATAGAGAATTTGATTATAATTTATGAGTAATAGTTCAAAGAACAATACGTTAAAGCAACAAGGTAAAAATGAGATCAAATAGTTTTAAGCATAGCTTAAATATTGTTTTAAAATTATTTATTGTGTAAATATTTGAATGAGAAAGAGAAAGATATAAATTAGCCTTCTTCCTGACTTAGGAGAATTGGGGTGGCATTGACAACATTTGGTAATTTTTCTTTTTTTTTTTTATGTTGGTGGTTCTGGGGACGGAATACAGGGCCTTGCACATGTCAGTCGAGTGCTCTATTAGAGCTACCTCCTCACTCCAGTTTTTGGCATTTCTAAGCGGTCCATTCTCCAGGCGTCTTCTACTTAATTTGCATGTCAAATCAACCCTCCCTTCTTGGGAAGGCCTTGGTAGCTAGAACAGTTCTCCCTGTCCTTGTTCCTAGAGAACCTTGTGCTTCTTTCATTATGTAACTTGTCACCAGAATGTAAGCTCCTTGAGGGTGAAGGATTTATCCACTTGGTTACCACCTAGAAGAGTACCTTGAGCATATTAGCAACTCAGTCATTATTTGTTGCACAAGTGTAGACATCCCCTCACCCCACCAAGTAATTGCTAGGTTCACTACATATTCAGTATTTTGCAGGAAAGCAGGAGTCACATCCATTTACCTTCTGTGAACCCCGTGCCACAGACAGTGTGATGTACCTGGAAGGAACTCTACTTTCATCAAAAGAATAATAGAACCCTTCTGGGAGAGAGAAGAGCCTTATCTTCTGCAGGAGCTTAGAGACACATTTTCAGTTAGGCACAGTTTATCTTTATAGCTCTGTTTCTGTCTTCCCCTGTCTGCTTTGGGTTTCCCCTTCCTATATCTTGGTTCTTGGTCCTACTGCAGGGCCTTGATGTCTGCTAAAACCTTATCTGGTAGCTTTAGTTACTTGCCTTCACTCTGTTAGGGAACTCTAGGAGGCCAAAAGTACTTTGTGATTCAAAGAAGTAAATGGATGTAATGGTATAATCTAATCTGAAACAGTGAAACCAGGCTTTTATTTTTGGGACAAAGAGTCTACCTGTTTCCTTTTAAACAGCTGACTCCTTCATTAACTTGCAAGGGCAAATCTGACTCAGCTAACAAGCCAGTCCAACGTTCATAGGAAAACAGAAGTGTGGGGATGGAAGGGATGCTGAGAGGTCATTTGATCCATCTGTCAGCCCTTGGGCAAGGATAAATCTAAGACTGCACCAGACTGTCCCCAATAGATACTCTAAACCACATCTTTGAATTCTCCAAAAGGAGGAGAATTGACAACATTCTAATTTAACTCATTTTCATATTCACAAGGTTGTCAGACATTTTTCTTAATCTTTTATGCTACCATACAATTTCATTTTTTTTCTAGTTCCATTCTTCAATGAGGAATGGCTGGTTTTTTTTGCCTTTATGAGATAAACATGTTGGTATCTTTCAGTTTTCTTTGTATATTAGATTTTCTAATCCTTTAATCATCTTTGGGTTTTGCCTTCTAAAGCCATGATAGAGTCAGATTTTTTTTATATTAAGGGAAGAAGTTTGATGCCATCTCTTAATGGCTGTGGAGAGCAGGAAATTGGACTGTAGTCATGGTGTAGAGAGCCACAGGTACCTAAAATAACATGAATTACCACTCTGTAGTTGAGTCTGTAAGTGAAATTATCTGGGGTGCATGCTAAAATAAGAATCCCTATCCCACAGGAAAGAATAACTTCTGAACAGAAAGGACCCATGGAGTAGCACACCCTATAGCAAGACCTGGAAAAGGCTTCCTAGGAAACTAATATTATCAAAAAGCAGTGGCCTAAGGGATGACTAACAAAAATAACAGCTTGAAAAATCAGCAATTGTATTTTTCTGTGATGTTAGGAAAGCAAAATTAATATATTAACCGTCAGTTTTTCTCCAGTAATACTTTGGGGAAAGGGATAAGTAACATGGATATTTTAGTCTGGTGGCAGGCACATACCTATATCAAGATACAGGGGACAGCAACAATCATCTGAAGTTGGAAAAGTGCCACCTTCTTTATGGACATTTCTAGTCCTTTAAAAAAACATCCTGGGATAGGAGTTGTAGATACATTTAATGAATGAGAAGATTCAGGTTCATGAGGATCAAATCATTTTCTTAAGGAAGAACTGCTATAAAATGGCTAATAGCAAATATACCAAACTCCAGTGCCCATAACTCAGTGACCCAATAAGTGCCTTCCCTCTGAGAATAATCCAGAAGAATCAGCATCTGCCCACTTCCTGACTTTGTGTTTGTAGGGGTCTGGTCAGTGAGTCTTATACCCAGGTTTTTCCTGTGGGGTTTTTATTCTATAAATCAATAATCAGATATTTTAAAGTTCTAGTCAGCCCAGTGTAGGCAGGTTACCATAGTCATTTTCTTAAGGTCTGCACATCTGATGAGTGGTTCTGAACTGCAAACTGTGTGACATTGGGTTATGACATAATAAAAATGTCAATGGCTTTGTCAGAATGGCTGAAGCCTGTTTGCTAACCATTCCAGATCGTTACTGTGAACAGCCACTAAATGTTCCACAGGAAAGCTCACCCCTTTGTGGAGACTTCTGTCCTAGAAACCCGTCATATATATTCAGATCCATTTAAGAGGTTGGAGTTTATTGTCATTGTCATGTGTTTAGACTTTGGAATCCAACAATCCTGGGCTGGAATTTCCAATCTGGCAGCAGCAGTTGCATCACTTTTGGGGAAGTTTTTAACATTCCTAAGCCTTAGTTTCCTCATCTGAACTGTGAAAATTTTAATGTCACCCACAGTCTCTTTTGGAGAGTTAATTGGAAAAACGTAAGTAAAACAGATAGTAATGAGTCTAACATATAGTAAGAATTCAAAAAACATATACAATTACCCTGATACCAAAACTAGACAAGAATACAACAGAAAAAGACAACTGTAGACCAGTATCCTTGACAAACGTAAATGTAAAATTTCTGAACAAAATTCTAACAAATTGAATCTAATAGCATATCAAGAAGATTGTACACTCATGATCAAGCTGGATTTTCCCCAGGGTTGGAAGGATGGTTCAATATACTCTAATCAATAAACAGTACACAACATCAAAAGAATGAAAAAGAGAAAATCATATGATCATGTTAATAGATGCTACAAAAACATTTGAGAAAATTCAATATCCCTTCAAGAAAAAAAACACTGAACAAGTCAGGAATAGAAGGAATGTATTCCAACATAATAAAGGCTATCTATGACAAATTCACAGCCAACTTTGCATTGAATGGGGGAAGCTAAAAGTGTTCCCTCTAAGATCTGGAACAAGATGAGAATGTCCACTTTCACTGCTCCTATTCAACCTAGCACTAAAAGATTTAGCCAGAGAAAGTTGATAAAATAAAGAAATAAAAAATATAAATAAATAAATAAATAAATAAATAAATAACAAATAGAAATGGAGGAGGCCAAATTACCCATTTGCAGTTGATTGGATTCTATGTATTGAAAAATCAAAAGACTCCACCAAAAGTCCATTAGAACTGATAAATGAATTCATAGTAAAGTTGGAGATTACAAAACCAACATACAAAAATCAGTAGCATTTTTATGCACCAATAACAAGTTTACTGACAAACAAATCAAGAAGGTGATCTCATTCACAGTTACTATAAACCAAACCAACCAAAACAACAACAACAACAACAACAACAACAACAAAACCTTAAGAATAAATCAAGACAGAAAAAGACCTCTACAATGAAAATTACAAAACACTGATGAAAAAAATTGAAGACACACATGCACACAAATGGAAAGACTTCACATGTTCATGGATTGAAAGGATGTTGTTAAAATGTCCACATTATCCAAAACAATTTGTAAATTTAATGCAATACCATCAAAAATACCAATGTCATTCTTCACAGACCTAAAAAACACAATCTAAGATTCGTATAGAAGCACCAAGACCTCAAATAGATGAGGCAATCTTGAACAAAAACAACAAAGCTGGAGGCACCACAATATTGATTTCAATACACCACACTGAGACATATTAACCAAATAGCATGGCATTACCATAACCCCAAAAGACCCTATGGAACAGATTAGAGATTTTAGAAATAAACTCACACATCTACAGCCAACTGATTTTGACAAAGATATCAAAAACATACGTTGGAAGAAGTACAGCCTCTTTAATAAATTGTGCTGGGAAAAATGGACATTCACATGCAGAATATTGAAACTTGACCCCCATCTCTCATCCTGTATAAAATAAACACAAAGCAGATCAGAGACCTAGTAAGACCTGAAACTGTGAAACTATTAGTAGAAAACAGGAGAAATGCTTCAAGACATCGGGATAAGCAATAATATTTTAGATGTGGCTCTAAAAAGCACAGGAAACAAAATAAAAAATAAAATGGGATTATATCAAACTAAGAAGCTTCTGCACAGCAAAGAAAACAATCCACAGAGTGAAGAGGCAAAGAATGTGAGAAAATATTTGCCAACTATTCATCTGACAAAGGATTAATATTCAGAATATATGAGGAACTCAAAAGCTTAATAACAAAAAAACAACTCATCTAATTTTAAAAATGGACAAATGTATTTCTCAAAAGAAGAAATTCAAATGCCAATAGTTCACATACAAAGAAAATGAAATCAGCATACCAAAGAGATACCTGCACTCCCATGTTTATTGTTACATTAATCATAATAGCTAAGATATGGAATCCGACGTTGTGCTCATCGGTGGATAAATGCATATAAAGAAAATGGCATATAGACACAACAGA